GGCTAACATCTTTTTCGCAACTATTGCATAGTGGCATAGTTTGCCATCCTGTGTTGTTCACTAACATTAAGGGGTTCTACGACCGACGGGAACACCCCCACATACATTTCTTGCGTGCTTTATTGCTGGAGTAAGTTACTCAGAATAACCAGGGCAGCACATGCCTTGCGGATGAATCAAGTCGAGTCATGATGAGACTACGTACGTCGCATGTAGTGATGAAGTTCAGATTGTAACTGACATAGTACAGTACACCGTCGCAAGCGGTACGTACAAATATATCCGGTTTGCATAGCTTTCAGTTGTGTGTGGGTTTAGCTAGCTTTTGCAAGGATAGGGTTGGATTGGAGAGTATCTACAGTTAGTAGTAAATTGAACATGGTTGTGGATACTGCAGCTGAGAAGACTAAGCTTACATTACTGCCAGTAATGATTACAGGCACTTGACGAAGACCAGAGCGGCGTCCACTACGGCTCATCGTCTACCGTAACCAATCAACTTGCGCTTCCTCGCCACTACAATAACGAGGCACCACGACGTCGATGTGCTCGTGGCGCTGCTCCTGGATCCTGGTCTATACCACCTCGGAGTTGTAACCAACAGCGAGCCCAGCAAGCATCTCGAGGGCAAAAAGGATTCTTTAATCCACACCCTCCCTAACACTTGCAAGCTTGTAAACAGAGCCTCTGATCGTTCTCCTGTGCTAGAGTTACAGACACCAGTGACAGTGTCTACTGGCCGCGCTAGCTTGTATCTGGGTCCGGTTCCAGTATATTACGTAGTATACACCAATTACGCATGCTACAGTATTGCACCAACGATTCATGCTCCGAGTTATCCTCTTTCCGTACTCTGCAAATGTCTCGATTTACAAGAACTCGACCGCATGGCGCTAAAAGTTATGAACCGATTCCTGCTGATGCCTGTGAAGCCACATATTCACAAACACTTATGATTGGTTGAAATCAACACACAGTAATATGTTCGCATTGGTTAAAAGTAATTATCGTTGACTTACGCTAAAATGATGCGCCCTATTTTCTCTGCGGGAAGTTTACTCTCCCCACCACTTCATACAGAGGGCCCGAAGGGGGGGGGGGGAGGTCGTAAGATGGCATTCCAACGACGCGACGCAAGTCAGCAACATCCATATCTATAGTAATAATGCCCCCATTTATTTGGCATGCAACCGCCGTGAACTGCAGTGGATTCGAGTCGTTTTGTTGCTCTTGATCAGCAGAACCTTCAGTTTGTAGAGCATCGATACGTTGTAATTGCGCAAACGTAGCACTCGTTGGTGGCTCTAAAAGAGTACCTTCGCGTGTGAAATTGCCCAATAACGTTGCGACGCAGGACCATATGTGGCGGTAGTTCAGCAGTTCAGCAATTGCAGCAGCTGATGCTTCAACACGAGCCTCTGTAGCTCGACGAATACCTGTCCTGGTATTGGTTCGCTGAACATAGATATAAATTTCAAGCTGGAAGTCGGCTTGCCTAGTCAATAATAAATAA